CCCTACTATTTCAGTTTTCTCAGCTGTTCATGAAGGGAGGTGTCCCCTGTTCCTTCCACCTCCCACGCTCCTAAGAAGCACCTGAATGCTGCCACCCAGCCGCCCTGAAAAGAGAGGACCCCTCTTCGGAGGCTCCCAGCCCAAGAAAAGAGACTGGGTTTCCTGCATAAGCAAAAGGGAAAAACTGCCTTTGGAAGAGTGGTTGGACCCGTCAGCCACATGACTCTGAAGCCGTGTTGCCCTTTGGAGGCAGCGGGAAGGACATGACACAGAGGCTCCCTGGAAAGTGGGTAGGTGCAGAGCCACACCAGCTTCTGTGACAGCACGCTAAAAGTGTGCAGGACAGACTCCTCTGTCTCATTTCTTCACTCAAAACCACAAAGCCTATCTTGAAATAGACACTATGTGAATAAAGCCAGAAAGTCGAATTCCCAGAAGGAGAGTGTGCGTTTCCTTGAGCTGCCGTCATGGGGACAGCGTGGAGAACCCGTTGTTGCTTCATAAACAGCACGTGGCTCCCATTACCCTTTGATTCCTACACAAAAAGATTATGAGGAAGCGCTGGTATGTGGGAAACGGCAGCTTTCTAGATCTTGAACATTAGCCTTGTTAATTTTTCAGAAATGCACGGGGGCTGTGACAGTGGGGAAGCGACTACCTATATGCTTTACTATAGCTCAGCTCTTCCCCAGTTTTAAACGCCACCAGAGCCTCGGCCTTCATGTTTATCACAGACCACGGCTCTTTCATCATGGGAGGGCATTTTTCTTTATTGCATTGTGGTTGACACGTTTGCGCGCAGCTTGATTTAAATGTCCTAGTAAAATCCTAAAAGATGAGACAAAAAATCAGCGCCGGCAGCCGAGGTGAGGCCCCTGGTAGCAGCTGGGTTATAGTGCCACGGTTTTAAGGGCATCCTGGACCCATTTCCTTCAGTCCAGACTTCCCTGAGCTGGGATGCTCAGCGACATGAATTGGCCACAGTAGCAGAGGTGGCAGGGGTGCCTGCTGACTTCCCCAGGAGCCGGCAGACAGCCCAGAGGCCCCACGCCTGCCGCTGCCCAGGCCTATCATGTCCTTCCTGTTATTCCATGTTCACACCTTCAGAGTTTGGAACAAATGAAATTGCTGTGAGATTCACTTACATAAGAGACAATATCCTGTCAGCCCTTGGTTCTAGCAGGGAGGACGAGACACCCCAGGGCACAAAGGAAAGACAATGAATCACAGAGTCACCACCCGAGGCCAGTGGGACCAGGCCCCCACCCAGGGAGGGATCCCTCAGGGTCAGGACCACCAGTGAGCAGTGGGCTGCAGCCCAGAGTCCGGCTCAAGCCTTCCTTGCTGAGTGACTTGGGGACTCATTTCTTCTCGAGAGAATTCAGTTCCTCTCCTCTGTCCCCACGGTTTCCATTTCATTGTCTTTCCATCTGACTTTCTGGAAGATTTTATCAACTTTCTCCACCAAGACTTCTACCGCAGCTGGCTGTTGCTGTTTCAGTCTTGGCAAACGCATCTTTCCAGGGGCTGTTCTTGCTCTCAGCTGCGTCCTCGCACAGCACCCCGTTCTGGGTCAGGGAAGGCTCCACCCTCCTGTTCCACAGAGGATGGGAATTCTGGCTTCTTTAGGGTTTTCTTCCTGCTACGTGGGTTGTGTTCATTTCCTGCAGGGTCAGCTACGTAGTTTTCTGCCTCTATTTCCTTTCTGTAGTGGATTTTCTAAAACACAGGCATGGACAACCCGGGATCCCTGGGTATTTTGAAGAATGAGGCAAAAGAAACGTCAGTTGGGGCACGGAGGGGACTGGTCAATGCCAGAAAGAGGACCTCAGGGACACCTTTGCTCAGGGACATCAACCGTCACACAGGCTGCTGGGGGTCTCCCTGTTCATTCCATAAATATCAATCTGCAGGCACAGCATCCTCAACGGCCCATTTAATTTCTTTACAGAACAGCTGCCCCCTTCTTGTTTGGCTGGGAGAGATCGAAGTCTGACTGGTGGGAGTTCTGTGTCCCTGGGCGAGGGCAGGTTGGGGATGGAGACCAGTCTGTGAGGAGCCAGGCTCAGCGCCCTCCCCAGTCCACGCTGCCCTGCCTGAGGCCGCGCCTACTTGTCGGGGGCTGCGCACTGATTCCCTTTTGCTGTCTTGATGCCATGCGAGGCAAGGAGAGAAGCCTGGTGCCCCGAGCCCAGCTGTCTTAGTCAGCTTCCTCCTGGTCTCAGCTGTGCATCCAGAAGTCCTAGGGAGCGTTTTTGATTCTCGCTAAGGCCAGAGGAACTTCTGCCTGCACTCAGGAGAGGTGGGAGCAAACAGGAAGCATGCACTGGGCGGAAGAAGGTGGGTACGCCCGCCCCCCACCCCTGCCCACCCCGGTCCTCTTCGGAGCTGAGACCCTCCCCCCGGGATCTGTGCCACCCCAGTGGGTGGGTGCTCTTCAAGCACTGCTAGGACTGAGGTTCAAATCCAAGCTAGGGTCCTGACAGCGTGGAGCCTGGGGAATGCCGAGGCATCTCTGGGCCTCACTTTCCTAAGTTTAAGTTGAGGATGGGGACGGCAGGTGAGAGAATGATGTGCTTGGAGGCCTTTCTTTCTGGGGGTCCAGCTCTGAGCAAATACTTACTGAACACATGAATCAGTGAGTAACTCCGTTCGTACCGCTGAGCAGGGCCAGGGTGAGCTTGGAGCAGTCCGGGTGCTTCTACAGGTGGTTTCCATGCACTTCTGTGAACGGGTTTACACAGATTAAGTTCACAGCCTTGAAAGCAGCTAACAGATGCCCTAGATCTGCTGGCAGCCTGGGAAAGAGGAGGCTGCCTGGGCCATGAACATGAGCTCAATGGGCTTCGTGAGCCTTGAGGGGTGCCACGCTGGAAGGAGAGCTTGAAAGTGGAGCTGCCCCAGAGAGCCACCGTCAACAGGGCTCAAGCTGCCCTGGGAGGGAAGCTATGACCACGCCACTCCCAGGAGAGGAGCCCAGGCCCAGAGGAGAGAAGGAATTGCCCCTGAGGTCCTGGTGCCATGGAGGGAAGACCTGGATTTGAACTCAAGCCCCCTGACCCCAGAGCCCAAGCTCCTACTGACTAGACTGGACAAGCAGTCCCACTTCTGCTCCAAACCAGGTGATCTGGGGCAAGCTGCGCCCCTCCCAGGCCTCAGATTCCCGGTGCAGGAACAGGCAGGTCTGAGGGGCTGCTCCATCCTCATGGGACTGACAGCGGGATTCAGTGATCCTGGGGTTTAGTGCAGCACTCGGCACAAAGCAGACCGTGATGGGTCATGCCTGCTGCCTGGGTTGTGACCTGAAACAGAGGCCTGGACCCTGCCTGGGCCCAGGAGTGGAGGTGAAACCCAGGCACCTCCCCAGCCTCCTGCCAGCATCCCCTCAGGGCCTGGGAACAGCGCTGTGAAAGGGCCGCACCTGGGCTGGAAATCACCCTCAGGCTGCCAAGTAATCAGTTCCACAGTTGGATGCAGGCCTGTGCTGAGACTTGAAGTCAGTCGGCATGGAACACATTTCCCATGTCGAGGCTGGGCCTGACCTCCCTTCTCACGGTAAAGGAGGAAGAAAATTGCTTCTTTGATGGCATTTGTGATAGGCTGGAAAGCACACAGTGGAGTGAGCCAGGAAGTGCTGGCCGGGCTCCCACACTGGCCGCCGTCTGCATCCATCTTGGGAGGGAAAAGGGAGGGACCACCTCGTGTCCCCACATCCCTGTGCTCCAACCCCGGCCCTCCGATCCCCATGGCATGGTGCTAGAGGGTCGAGGTGGTGGGGTCTCGATGTCCCAGAGGTAAGTCATCAAACCCGGTCTTTATGGCAGGCACTGAGGTGACAGGACAGGTGAAACCCTCACAGTGGACGGATGCAGGAGGGGGTGGCTCTGTGTGCCCCAGGGCCTGTGTCCCCATGCCCAAGGGACTCATACACAGCACATGGTGTTGGGCTGAGTCTGTGCCATCTGTCTGGGGCTGTGCAGTGGGAGGTAGCAAAGGTGGGTGCCATCCAGGTCTACCCAGCCCCCCCATCCCTCCTGGGGCCACCAGGCCCTGCCCTGGCCACACACAGCACCCGTGTTAGCTGGGATCTTGGGGTGAAGACCCCCAGCAGGCAGCACCACTGCCCCAGGCCTGCTCTCCTGGAATGGCTGAAGCTGACCCCTGTGGGTGATCGCAGCAACACCCCCGGACCTCACACCATGCAGCCTGTGTGCTGCACCCACCCTTTCTTGGAACCGTTTTCTGAGTTCTCGCCGTCTTTAGGCTAAGTACAGACAAGAGAAAAAGCTCATCAGCCTCGCACTGGCCAGTTCTGCTCACGGCCTTGCCTCCCAGGCCCTTCTCTCTGACCTCTTTCTTCTTGGTAGTCTGAAGGCAGTAGCTAACCCCTTGTGCCCCTCACACAGCCCCTCAGACACTGCCTCTGTAGCCCCCAGATCAGCTCCACCACAGGGTCCCCCACACCCCACCCCTGTCGATCCTGGAACAACAGATGCCCTGGACCACGTGCGGCCCTGTGTGCCACAGGCAGGGGGTCTGGCCAGCAGAACACGGGTGCCCATGGACAGACACTTCCTCTCCGCTCTGTGGCACTTCTCAGGGGACAGTCTCTCCCAGGAGGCTGAGCAACCCTTGTATTCACTGGGGTCCAGCTCCATCACCTGCCTGAGTGTGGCTCCCTCCCTCCCTGCATCCCAGGCCTGCCCTCCTCCCTCAAAGTTAGCATCGAAGCCTGACTTTCAGGTTCAGCTTTCTGGAGGGCCCAGGCTTTCCCCCTTGACAGAGAGTCCAAATGCCAAGTAGCCCAGCAAAGCGGCTCTCTGGAACTGACAGCTAGACCTACAGCCTCCCCCACAGCGGGGAACCAGTGGTAAAGAGGAGATGCCAACGCCTGCAAAGACTCCTGAAAGGTGGCGGGCCCTGAGGTCACACTGGTGATGGGGAAGGGGGATCACCCGGAATAGTGAGCGTGTTCACCTTTGCCTTTTCTCTTCCCACAGGAGCAGGAGCCGGGGCCCAGCTGTGGCAGGACATCCACACGTGCCTACGGGATGCTTCCAGGTCCCCTTCCAGTCAAGCAGAAGCCCAGGACACATGGCTGCAGCTCGACCAGTGCGTGGGGTGGGTGCCATGAGGCCGAGTGGGGGCCCAAGGTAGGGGGTCCCTTGTGAAAAGCCAGGTGGGCATCTCTCCAGGTGTGTGTGTGACAGGGTCGGGTCAGAGGCAATGACCAGGATAGGATCACAAGGCAGGCACAGGGGTGATAGCCACTCACCCGAGAATGCTATCAGAAATAATCACGGCGATTAGGACAATGTGTTAATTCAACACATAGCTTTGAGTGTCTGCTACATGCCGGAAACAGACAGTTCTACGTGCTGGAGATAGAGCAGGGAGAAGACCTTTGTGAAGCAGCCGGAACTGTGCTGAGAGTTTTACACGCACGAATTCTTCCAGTGCCCAGGTGAAGTGGGGCAGTGCTGGGTGCTGTCTTAGAGTGGACACGCCAAGGCCTGGCAGGGTCCCTGTGTCTGTGACATGGCAGGACTCGGACCCCTGCCGAGATCTGCCTGTGTCCAAATCCCCTCTTTATCTCTTGGTTCTTTCGGAGTTGCCTGTGGCCATCTTAGTTCTTTGGGCTGAAATGACAAAATACCAAAAACTGGGTGTGTTATTAACAACAAACATGTACTTCTCATGGTTCTGGAGGCTGGGAAGTCCAAGATCAAACTGCCAACAGGTTGTATGTCTGCTGAGGGCTGCTTCTTGGTTCTTAGATGATGCCTTTTCACTGTGTCCTCACATGGTCAAGGGGCAAGGGAGCTCTCTGTGGCTTCTTTCATAAGAGCACTGATCCCATTCAGGATGGATCCACCCCCATGACTTTATCACCTTCCCAAGGCCCCACATCCTAACAGAATCACACTGGGGATTAGGCTTGAACATATGAATTTGGAGTACACAAACATTCAGGCCATTGCAGTTGCCTTTCCTAAGCCTCCAAAATGTCCCTCCTCACACTTTCTGGATGCCTGTCCTGGGTCAGGCTGGCAGAGGCTGTTGCTGGGCATCCCAAGGAGAAAAGCAAAGAGGCTGATCATGTGGAGGTGGGTGCACTGGGGTCAGAAAAGTGGGAGGCACATGTGCACGGAACAGGTGGTCCGATCTGGAAGAATACTTCAAACACCTGCCTCTCCATTCCACACATTTCAGACAATGGTCACTAACATGTCCCCTTCAGGGATAGCACCGGCTCTTACATCTAAAGGAGGTGCAATGCTCAGGTGTGAGCAGGAAGGACCTCAGTCCTCCAGTGTGGATGCTGCTGCCCCTGCTGGGCACTGGCTGAGCCAGACAGTTGGGCCATGACCCAAAGCCTTGCGGTCTGTGAGATGCCCAATGGCAGGATACTGCCACGCCGGGGAAAAAGGAAACAATAGGGAAAGTATATGTGGGTTGATTTGTGTCCCCCCAGCAAAATAAGTTCAAATCTGTATCCCTAGTGCCTGTGAATGTGACCTTATTTGGAAACAGTTTCTCTAAAGATGTTATCAAGTTAAGATAAGGTCATCCTGAAGTAGGGTGGGCCCTAAATCCAATAGCATGGATACTTGCATATAGAGACAAGGAGGAAACACACACAGGAAAGAAATACATATAAAGAGAAAGGCAGAAGTTAGACGGGTCCATCTACAAGCCAAGGAACACCAAGGGCTGCTGCCATGATAGGAGCCATAGAGGAGGGAGAAAGGAATGCACCCTCACAGCCTCCGGAAGAATCCAGCCCTACTGACACCTCAGTCTCAGACTTCTGCCTCATGAACTGTGAGAGACATAATTTCTGTTGTTTTATGTGCTCCAATTTGTGATAAGCTGTCAGGGCAGCTCTAGAAACAAATATACATTTGCAGGGAAGTGCAAGCCAAGTGGGCCCCACTGTAGAACGTCATGGGGCACAGACATCCACTTTGGTGGCTTTGCCATTGTTGAATACAGGTAATTAATTTATCATTTGATAAAACATTTTGACTTTGCAGTGAGTCCTTTCTGCACAATAAGCTTTAAAAAGTACAAAATTAAAAATTTTGCTGTTTTTAACACAAAATTCTACAGCATTTATTTCTCAGTGATGACGAATGTGTGTAAGCTGCATGAAATGTTTATTGACATGTACCATTCAATGTGGGGCCATGGTGATAATCCTGAACTTATAAAAAGCAGAAGACACAAATTTGCTGAAAATATATCAGCATCTACTTTAAAAAGTTAGTTGTTATTCATAAAAAACTGTGACCAAAAATCATAATGTAACACATGCAGATACAGAAGGCACATTTACATATATTCCATGAAGCATGACTTTTTATTGAGATCAATTCATTCTTGTTCTGAATTAATTTTGTTCACTTCAAATTCTAGACTTCCGTGTGCACACATGAAGAATGAGGCCCTAGCTGCTCACGTGTGGGTTCCAGTAACAGAAGAAGGGCTTCACAGACCTTCCGAGAGGCCAGCTCTTCAATTACTTGATGAGCACCACGAGATGCTGTGAACAGCAAACCCACTATGTTAATTCCAATAAAGGATTCTAATTTTCGAAATGTAGTTTATAGAATCAAAATAGGGCCTTGAGAAATTTATCCTCTTGGAAGTGAAACATCTGATATTATTGTAGATGCAGTTCAGTCAAACAATTCAACACTGAGATAAAGTTAGTTGTTTTGCAGTGACAATACAAATACAAAGTTTGGTGGAGTACAGCACTGTGGTAATGTTCATGCTAAACTAAGAAGCCTCAGGATATGTCTTAGTCTGTTTTTTGCTGCTTTACAAGACATGTGGACTGGATAATTTTTAGAGAACAGGGATTTATTTCTTACAGTTCTAGAGGCTGGGAGATCCAAGGAACCGGCATCTGGTGAGGGCCTTCTTGCTACGTCATCCCTTAGTGGAAATTGAAGAGCAAAAGGGCACATGAGAGAGAGAGAGAGAGAAGGGGAGAGGGTCAGACTCATCCTTTCAGTAACAGCATTAATTCATTCCTGAGGGCAGTGCCTTGTGATGTAACCTAGCACATGAACTTTGGGGAACACATTCAAACCACAGCAGGATGGAAACCAGGAGTTGGTTGTGGTGCAAATAGAATCCACAATTTTGTCAAACAAGCTATGATAGTCTACCAACTGAAATAGAAGTCATAGCATCAAGTTTTTAAATTATGGATATTTATATATATCATTTTATGCATGTGTAAATTTGCGTGTGTGTGTGTGTGTATGTGGAGAGAGAGAGACAGAGAGAGAGTCAGTCCTCTGTATCTTCATATCTTTGAACATGGAACCTGCAGATATGGAGGTTTGACTATAAAGGACTTGAGTACCCTTGAATTTTGGTATCTACCAGAGACAGAGGGGATAGAACCAATCACCTGTGGACACTGAGGAATGTCCATATATGTATGATGTATGTATGTATGCATTTCTTTAAGGCTCCCCAAAGAAACAGAAGCAACAGTAGATAGCTATATAGATAGATGTGTGTGTGTGTGCGTGTGTGTGTGTGTGTGTGTGTGTAGAGAGAGAGATTTATTATGGAATTGGCTCAAGTGATTATGGAGGCTGAGAAGCGTTACAATCTGTGTCTGCAAGCTGCAGACACAGGAAAGTTGTTGATGTAATTTATTCTGAGAAAGAAGTCCTGAGAACTAGGGTAGTGATGTTAACCTCTCCAGGGACAGGAGAATATTAAATGAGTTTTCCCAGATCAAGCAATGAGGCAGGAAGATAGTGGCAAATTTCTTCTTCCTCCACCTTTTGTTCTATTCAGGCTTTCAGCAGATTGGATAATGCCCACCCACACTGGGGCGGGAAATCTACTTTACTGAATTCATCAATTCAAATGATAATCCCATCTGGACACACCCTCAGACACACCCAGAAACAATGTTTAACCCGGACATCCTGTGACCCACGCAAATTGACACATAGATAGACACACACACACATACACACACACGGAATGATTGAACTATAAATGTTTTATGGTTACACTGACGTTGTATAAACATACTTATCATGGAAATACATCTCTCCTCTTATTACCTATCATAAATTTAATTTTAGGAATGTGTGAGTTCTGTAAATCAACCTAAATGTCCTGCAATGCTATCAATGATATATTATAAAAAACATTTTGAAATCTTTGCTGAAAGTGTTAACTAATTGGAGTGTCAAAGAACTTAAGCTTTTGAAAACTCAAGCAAGTACAATTATTGAAAACAAAGCCATAAATAGGAAGACATTGAAACTTAACTATCTAAAAGAAAGAAAAAGACTTTAGCTTCAATCATGATAAGTTAGCTTCCATTTCTCTGATTCTTCTGCCAATAACAATCATAAAAGCTAAAAAAATTGTTTTTCTAATTAACTAATTTAAGATACTGAGAAGAAACTGGAAGGGATATAATTATTGAAATATGGGAGAGTAAACTGGAAATGTTAAACTCTTCAGAGGAAAAGAATGCCTTCCTCTATAATTTTTTACCCACAGACAAGAAAATCAGACTCACTGGTGATTCAGATATCAGAGTTAGCAGATAAGCTTTTAAAAATAACTATGATTAATATGTTAAGTGCCAGGGAGAGATATACTAAATGGAAGATAGAGAATTTCAACAGGGATTAAAATCTATAAAAGAAGTCAAATAGACATTTTAGAACAGAAAAAACACAATATCCAAAATTGGAAAGCCATTCAATGGATTTAAAAATAGCCTGGACACTGCTGAGAACAGAGTTGGTAGACTTGAAGATAAGTTAATAGAAAATATCCAAGATAAAACAGAGAAATAAAAGAAAAAAAGTAAAGAGCCAAACAGAACATGAAAGATGTGGAATAATAGAAGATGGTCTAGTGTAAGTCAGATAATACTGCAATGATATTTTTAAATAAAAGGGTGGAAGGGGGATCCTGCCAACCTAGAAATCTATATTCAGAAAAAAGAAATCAAAAATGAAGGTAAAAATAACAACACTTTCAGACAAACAAAGGCAAAGAGAATGAATTGCCATCAGACCACACGTCAAGAAACAGTAAAGAAAATTCTTCAGATTGCAGGAAAG